CCAGGTGTGTCCAGGTGTGTCCAGGTGTGTCCAGGTGTGTCCAGGTGTGTCCAGGTGTGTCTCAGGTGTGTCCAGGTGTGTCTCAGGTGTGGTGGAGCAGCAGGTCTGATAAAGTCTCAGAACATGTCTGGTTTGGTTTCATCGTCATGAACTCTGTTCCAGTTTGAGTCCACAGAGATGTCCCTGTTGGACCCGGGTCCTGTGACCCAGTTTCATCAGAGGTTCTGGATCAGGGTTCAGGTCTGGACTGGGATTGCTCAGTCAAAGTGGGCTGCAGGTCAGAGCAGGAGGAGGCAGCAGTGGGCTCTCTGATTGGCTGTCAMCCGGGTCACATGGGTCCAGCTGCTGGTACCGGTCCGTTTGATCAGCTGGACCTTTAGTCCCCTGGTGGGTCAGCGTAGAACTGATCCTCTGTCAGAACAGAAAACTGATCCGGTCTTTATCAGGTTCTAACCGGTTCTGCAGCCTGCAGTGAACGAACCGGTTCCACTGAGTCYTTATTAATGAAACAGAAACTGGGTCCAGTTCTGGCCCAGCAGAACCTCCTCCAGCAGCAGKACTCTGTGGTTCTGGACCAGGGTCTCTCATGGTTGGGGAGGAGTTCTGGGTTAAACAGATTCAGYACCGGGTCAAGGTTAGACTGCTGGTTCCTTCAGTTCTTCAGGTTCTGTGTGGCAGTCTCTAGCTGGACTTTGTCTTCAGGGTTCTGAACACCAAAGTACTGGTCCAGTCAGAGACTCAGAGACATGTGGACCACAGAAAGTCCACCTGGATCAGGGTCCGCCTGATGGTCTGTTTAGAAAGGTTCTGATTGGACACCTGAGGCGCTCTGTCACATGATGTCTCACCTGTGTGTCTCCAGGTCTGGTGTCCAGCAGTAAGTCCAGTCTGTCCTACCTGGTCAGTCGTCCTGAAGGAGGGAACGTGGCCGTGATCGCAGTGGGCGGAGCTCCAGAGGCTCTGGAAGCTCGACCCGGAGCACTGACCCTGCAAGTACGTCTCTCTGTGGACTTCATGAGGGGACGTCTGGGACAGGAGGGGACGTCTGGGACAGGAGGGGACGTCTGGGACAGGAGGGGACGTCTGGGACAGGAGGGGACGTCTGGGAC